GAAGAGACCCACCGCTGCGAGGGAAATGAAAACACGAACACACACAACTCCTCCCTTTAATACACACACATTCCACCACGCACACATGCACCTACATTATTTTATAAACGTTATGGCTAACATTTATACGAAGACACATTTGAGTAAATGCATCCTAAGAAAACTACGCACGAACAAGTAAGTTATAAACGAGGAGATGGATCTCTCCAAACGCCATCATCTCCGTCGTTATGGAAACAAACATGTTGTTATTAAAGAAAGGACAGATGCAAAGAGAAGATGACACTGAAGGCATATCGGCCACATTTAAATCTGGTGCAATTTCATTTTTCATGGGAGAACTTTGACATTGATTAGTCGGCCATCCTGGAAGAAAATCAAATCTAAAATGTAAATCAATGGGTCGCTGCTCAATAAGCTCTATTTACAGTGTTCAGCAGAAAAGTCCTCGATTCCAGTCATGAGGTGACAATGAGACTGTTTGATGTACAGCAGGATGCCGACTGCTTGCCATCTGTCACAACTTGCCTGATGTGCAAAAGATACATGAGATCAATTTAACAGTTCCACTTAACAGCACACAGAAGAATGTTTGAGTGCATGATGCTGATTTCAGGAATGGAAATGAACCTGGGACCACCGACTGTGAGTCAGCTATGAAGCTTTTGTGTTTCCTTCCAGCTCGGCAGAAAAAGGTTGGAAATTAAGAGGGTTACATGTATATATGCTGCACAGAGGATCATGTTGCAGGTAAGGTAAAGTAAAATGAAACTCAACTGGTGTGAGCACCTACAGGACAGTGTCATGGAGCGTGTCAAAGACGTCTCATGATGTGAAAGAACAGCTTGATTGTTCTTCTTTTTTGGAGAGAACAGATGCTACACGGGTTTTCTATAAAACACCAAAATGGTGGTAATAAAGGTTTAATTTCAACATTTTATAACTGGATTGTCTCTGCCTCTCCAGAAACATCAGTTTCTAAGTTAGAAGCTTGGAGAAAGGACCTAAATATTAATATTTCTGAGGAGACATGGACGTTAATTTGCTTAAAAATCACAAAAACAATAGATTAATATAATGCAATACAATTGGATCATGCAAACATATGTAACACCGGTGAAATTGAATAAATATAATAACAGAATTCCAGATACATGTTTTAAATGTGGAGAAGCCCGTGGAACATTTTTCCACTGTATATGGCAGAATTGTCCGTGCATTTTTGAATAAAAAGATTGCTTTAGATGTAGAAATGTTGCTATCACATGTGTATTCTAAAAATCTTACACTAAGAGCCCATCAAATTAAGTTTATGGATTATTGTACATTACAGGCAAAACGTATGATTGCATTAAATTGGAAAAAATCAGATCCTCCTGCTATTGGTGCTTGGATAAATTCTTTGGCACAGTGTATGTCAATGGAAAGGATAACGTACTTTCTCAAAAACAAGTTAACAT